CCCCCAGGAACAATAGACCTCCAGCAATAATAGATTCCCCAGGAACACTAGAACCCCAGGAGCAAAAGACCCACCCAGGAAACAACAGACCCCTAGTAACAATAGATCCACCCCATCAACAATAGACCTCCCCCAGGAACAATAGACCCCCAGTAACAATAGATCCACCCAGGGGCGGACTGACAACTCATGGGGCCCCTGGGCAATAGGGGATCATGGGGCCCCTGTGTCCTTGCCCAAACTGAAAAAAAAAGCCTATGAAAAAGGTACCAGAGGCATCTCATTGGGCCTCCTACTGACCCCGCCCCTGGATCCACCCCAGAACAAAAGATCTGCCCAGCAACAATAGATCTCCCACCAGCCAGCATAAATAGAACCTTCAGCAGCCAGCAACAGTTGACCCCTTCCTCAAGAGTAGATCCCTTCCCAGCAACACTTGACCCCCCCAGCAACATAAGACCCCTCCCAGAAACAGAATACCCCCCGTCAGCAACAATAGACCTCCCCAGCAACAACACATCCCCCCAACAATAGATCCTTCTACCTCCAGCAACAGTAGATCCCCTAGCAGCAAGCATCATTATACCCCCCAGCACCCCTTGCCATTACATCCATTCAGTGCAGGAGTTGCTGGAACTGCGTCCCTCCATTTTCCTGCCCCGTGTATCCAGATTTGCTAGTTAAAAAAAAGAAAAAGAGATGTATAATATGTTGGGGGAGACTACAAACAATAAAAGGTATAATGTGCAAAACCGAGACATTACCAAAAAAAAAAAGAAAAGAAAAGAAACCGCTCAGGGAATTTAGAGAGGAAAAGAGCCGGGGGGCTCAAGTGGTTACAATGTATCTTTTTTTCCCATTTTGTTGTTCGCTTTGTTACAGTCCAATGTGTATGTAGAGTCTCTCCGGGGAATGATTCCCTTTTTGTGATGTATTAACAGCAGCATTTCCAACCGTGCGTTTTATTTGTATCCTCATACATGTGAGTACATGCAATATCTATGTATAGTAACACCCCCCCCCCTTTTCTCTCTCCTCCCCCCCCCCCATATTCAGTGCAGGGATATATTTTTAGCGAGCACAGTACATGGTAACAAGAGCGATACGCGGGAATCGGGGCGATACAAACGTCTCTGAAATTTCCTTGCTGTTCCTCATTACCTCCGTTTCATTGCTTATCTTTTTCCTGCGTCACCCCTCATACATTTACCCCCCCCCCCCCCCCCCCCCACCGCCTCCCATTTATATGTTTCCCCTCCCTGATCCTCTTTCTTCTTGTTTCCATAGAAACCAACTCCACTTGAAATGAAACTGATTATTCTTATTGTAGACAGAAATATATAAAAAAAGAAAAAAAAAGGAAAAAAAAAAAAAAAAAAAAAAAAAAAAAAAAAAACCACGGCTTGGATTCTACCAGCCTGCAGCGGTATTAAAAAAAAATGACATTTGTGATGCTATATATACACAACATCCGAAAAAATAAAATGCTGTATTTATAGACCCAACCTGAATAACATGACTTTGCTAAAGCATCGTGTATTATAAAGAACTGCCATTTTAAAAAAATAAAATACTTCTTCCGCGCTGCTGATTTTCTGCTGCCTCTTTGCCGCCTCTTTGCCGCCACGCTCAGCATCCTGCCTACAACCCTGCTCAGCATAGGAAACTGTTGGGCGAGGAGCAGGGTTGTCAAGGAAGTCGGGTAGACACTGAGTATGGGTTTATCTAGATGGTGTACTGGAATATATAACTATGGATAAGGTGTGTATTAATTGGCCTTTTGTAGTCTCTATTGGAAGCCTGTGACAACGCAGGAGTGCAGTTGGGCGAAAGGAGCAGAGCGTTGTCACCCTATAACAGGAAGTCGTATTGGTAGACACTGAGTATTGTGGTTATCCGTTTGGGGGATGTGAATGTATACTTGGTCAGGCTGGATTTTATATATATAACTATAGCTATATACTGTGTACATATTCTATACTGTATCCAGCAAACTAGCCTTTTGTAGTCTCTATTGGAAGCCTGTGACAACGCAGGAGTGCAGTTGGGCGAAAGGAGCAGAGCGTTGTCACCCTATAACAGGAAGTCTTATTGCACATTCTATAAATTTATAATTATTGATTGATTGATTGATTGATTGATTGATTTTTATGTACCATTTTTGCACAGGATATGTGATTTGCTTAAGGCCGTTGGCAGGGGCGGACTGACCATTTGGAAACTTGGGCACTGCCCGAGGGCCCGGGGTCAGTAGGGGCCCCCATGAGATGCCCCTGGTACCTTTTTCATAGGCTTTTTTTGAGGTTGGGCAAGGACACAGGGGCCCCATGATCCCCTATTGCCCCATGAATTGTCAGTCCGCCCCTGGATAGGCCTCTGGGCAAAGTAATGCACTGGGGCCCTTACCAGGAAGATGGTGACCTGAGATGGGCATGATGCATGTACGTGCAAAAAGTGGGTGTGGCTAAATGAAGGTACATGTTGAGCTTGACTTTTTAGTCTGATTAAAAATGACAAATAAACACAACCAGGGAGTTATACCAAGTTAAATTAACTTCCTGTAAACACTCTCCCACCCCCTACACACACACTGCCCCCCCCCCCCCCCCCCCCCCGTATACACTAAACATCTTTTCCCCTGTATTCATTTTTAATTTTTACAAAATTAAAAAAAAAAATGTTACATTTAAAAAATGTTTTTAAACAATTTTTTAACATTTGTTTACAATTTTGTAAATTTTTTTTCACAACGCTGTCTTTTTTGAGATATAAGGGGTCTAAACAGACCCCTGATGTCTCACTTTTGGGACAGAGAAAGGGAGCGGTGACATGGATCTCCCAATCCATTTCTCTGCAGCCTTGGCTGCACTGGAGATGAATTATTATTATTATTATTATTATTATTACAGTATTTATAAAGCGCCGAATAGTTCGCTCAGCGCTGTACATTACAAAGGGGGACAGAACATGTGACAGAACAATAACAATACAATGCAAAACATGAGGGGATTGAGGGCCCTGCTCCTTGGAGCTTACAATCTAGAAGGGAGGGGATGGTGGCACAGGAGGGATAACTGTGGGGGATGGAGTGGTAGGAAGAGTGGAGGAGGTCGGCAGGTTAGCAGGGGGTGGGGTAGGCTTCCCTGAAGAGATGGGTTTTCAGGGTGCGCCTAAAGGAGAGGAGAGTAGGTGATAATCTGATGGGTTGGGGCAGGGAGTTCCAGAGGATGGGTGACACCCTGGAGAAGTCCTGGAGGCGGGCATGGGAGGAGGGAGACCAGGGAACTAGAGAGAAGGAGGTCTTGTGAGGAGCGGAGTGTGTGTGTTGGGTGGTATTTGGATATTAGGTCAGTGATGTAGTTCGGGGCAGTATGGTGGACAGCTTTGTACGTCAGTGTTAGGATTTTGAATTTGATCCGTTGCGCAATCGGAAGCCAGTGGAGGGATTGGCAGAGGGGGGTGGAGGACACTGAGTGGAGGCCAGTGGGGGATTGCAGAGAGGGGTGGAGGACACTGAGTGGAGGCCAGTGGAGGGATTGGCAGAGGGGGGTGGAGGACACTGAGTGGAGGCCAGTGGAGGGATTGGCAGAGAGGGGTGGAGGACACTGATTGGAGGCCAGTGGAGGGGCAGAGAGGGGTGGAGGACACTGAATTGGAGGCCAGTGGAGGGATTGGCAGAGGGGGGTGGAGGACACTGAATGGAGGCCAGTGGAGGGATTGGCAGAGAGGGGTGGAGGACACTGAGTGGAGGCCAGTGGAGGGATTGGCAGAGGGGGGTGGAGGACACTGAATGGAGGCCAGTGGAGGGATTGGCAAGAGGGGTGGAGGACACTGATTGGAGGCCAGTGGAGGGATTGGCAGAGAGGGGTGGAGGACACTGAATTGAGGCCAGTGGAGGGATTGGCAGAGGGGGGTGGAGGACACTGATTGGAGGCCAGTGGAGGGATTGGCAGAGAGGGATGGAGGACACTGAGTGGAGGCCAGTGGAGGGATTGGCAGAGAGGGTGGAGGACACTGAGTGGAAGTGGCTGGGTTGGCAGAGGAGGGAGGACACTGAGTGGAGGCCAGTGGAGGGATTGGCAGAGGGGGGTGGCGAGATGGAGCGGTTGGAAAGGTGAATGAGTCTGGCAGCCGTATTCAGGATTGACTGAAGCGGGGATAGCCAGCGGCGAGGCAGGCCAGTGAGGAGGGAGTTGCAGTAGTCGAGTCGTGATATGATGAGGGAGTGGATGAGCTGTTTAGTGGTTTCTGGGGTAGGAACGTGCGGATTTTGGCGATGGAGTTGCGGAGGTGGAGTCTGCATGTTGCGGAGGTGGAGTCTGCATGTTGCGGAGGTGGAGGATGTTGCGGAGGTGGAGTGCGCATGTTGCGGAGGTGGAGTCTGCACGAGTTTGTTAAAGATTGGACTTGGGGCTGGAAGGATAGGTTGGTCCAGAAGACACCAAGTACTCTGGCCTGCGGGGCGGGTTTGATGGTAGCGTTGTTCGATGTGATAGAGAAGTCAATGGGGGGTGGTGTCAATGAAGAGGAAGCACTCTGAGGCTGGGGACTGCAGGGGCCCCTATATACATCTGGGGCCCCTGGCAGTGCCCAGTTTGCCTGTGCGTTAAGACGGCCCTGCGAGCGTTGCAGTTGTGATGTTTGATTGCCGACATATCATGCTGATATACTGTAGATGCAGCAGCTTTGGTAGTCAGAGATCCCAAGCACAGATTTCACCACTATCTATAACAGGAAGCGCCTAAACTAGGACCTTTGTGGCAGGATCACCAGTCATTAAATGAATCGAAGCTGCGAATTTAAAAAATATTGAAATACTTTTTGAACTAACATCAGCCTGTTTGTATTAGATTTTAGTGGGTTTACATATACTGTAAGTGAGATGTGTAAGAGGACTGTATTTGTGTGCAGACCGCCCTAGGTAAGGGCCGCATGTGATGCTGAGCCTCCGTAATTCAAAGAACTTGAACTTGATGAACTAACTTGTACTTTGTTCACAGAATTACAACAACAGCTGCCTGTATGATGGATCTCCGCAGATATCCCCTGGACCAGCAGAACTGCACCCTGGAGATAGAAAGCTGTGAGTGTTGTCATGGAGGATGACATATAAAGGAGCTGTGAACGTACAATGTTACGGACACCTTCTATTACAGTTATAACTATGCCGCTGCCATAACCGGGTTTGCTTAGTTTCAGAATTGATCGTTCTTACATCATTTACAAGGTTAAAATGTTCTGGCATGTGACCAGGCATCCCTTCTTCCTGATAGTAGGGGGGCGGGGTTACAGGACACTGTGCAGGCACACCATGTGCCTATATTCCACAGTCTGTTCAGCCTGAGGCAGGCTGTGATAGGGAGGGGTGTGTGCCAGACGCAGGCTGTGATTGGAAGGGGGGTGTGTGCCAGACGCAGGCTGTGATTGGGAGGGGGTGTGTGCCAGACGCAGGCTGTGATTGGGAGGGGGGGTGTGCCAGAGCAGGCTGTGATTGGGAGGGGGTGTGTGCCAATAGCAGGCTGTGATTGGAGGGGGGGGGTGTGCCAGAAGCAGGCTGTGATTGGGAGGGGGTGTGTGCCAGATGCAGACTGTGATTGGGAGGGGGGGTGTGCCAGAAGCAGGCTGTGATTGGGAGGGAGTGTGTGCAGAAGCAGACTGTGATTGGGAGGGGGGGGGGGTGTGCCAGAAGCAGGCTGTGTGATTGGGAGGGGGTGTGTGCCAGAAGCAGGCTGTGATTGGGAGGGGGGTGTGTGAAGCCAGTGAAGCAGGCTGGTGATTGGGGGGGGGGAGGGGAGTGTGCCAGAGGCAGGCTGTGATTGGGAGGGGGTGTGATTGGGGCTGGGGGGGGGGTTGTGCCAGACGGCAGGCTGTGATTGGGAGGGGGTGTGTGCCAGAGCAGGCTGTGATTGGGAGGGGGTGTGTGTGTGCCAGTGCAGGCTGTGATTGGGCAGGGGGAGGGGGTGTGTGCCAGAAGCAGGCTGTGATTGGGAGGGGGGGTAGCGTGTGCCAAAGGCAGACTGTGATTGGGAGGGGGGCAGGCTGTGTGTGCCAGAAGGCAGGCTGTGATTGGGAGGGGGGTGTGCCAGAAGCAGGCTGTGATTGGGAGGGGGGGTGTGCCAGAAGCAGGCTGTGATTGGGAGGGGGGGGTGTGCCAGAAAGCAGGCTGTGATTGGGAGGGAGGGGGGTGTGTGCCAGAAGGCAGGCTGTGATTGGGAGGGGGTGTGTACCAGAGGCTGTGATTGGGAGGGGGTGTGTGCCAGAAGTGATTGGGAGGGGGCGTGTGCCAAAAGGCAGGCTGTGATTGGGAGGGGGTGTGTGACGCAGGCTGTGATTGGGAGGGTGGGGTGTGCAGGCCAGAAGCAGGCTGTGATTGGGAGGGGGTGTGTGCCAGAGGCAGAGGCTGTGATTGGGAGGGGGGGGTGTGCCAGACACAGACTGTGATTGGGAGGGGGTGTGTGTGCCGGTGGCAGGCTGTGATTGGGAGGAGGTGTGCTGTGTCAAAAGGCAGGCTGTGATTGGGAGGGGGGTATGTGCCGGACGCAGGCTGTGATTGGAGGGGGCGTGTGCCAGAAGCAGGCTGTGATTGGGAGGAATTTATAGGAAGTCTCCAAATTACAAGAAATTTGTCACTAAAATGGGTGTCCCCAACAGATCATTTATCCTTCCATTTCTTTCTGGTGACAGCTTTACAATGATGTATTTCCCATTACTTTCTGTCTCGTAGACAGCAGTCAATGGAACAAATAGATGAATGTGCCTAGTAAACTGAAAATGGGGTTCTCCAAAAATAATCCATACATATACAGTAGGACCAAGGAGGGTGGCTACATACAGGGGGACAATGGAGGGGGTGGCTACATACAGGGGGACAATGGAGGGTGGCTACATACAGGGGGACAATGGAGGGTGGGGGGGACAATGGAGGTGCTACATACAGGGGGACAATGGAGGGTGGGCTACATTCCTACATAATGTGGGACATTGGAGAGTGACTACATTTCTACATTCAGTGGGACCATGTAGCATGGCTACATTCCTACATACAGTGGGACCTTTGAGGGTGGCTACATTCCTACACACAATAGGACCATGGAGGGTGGCTACATTCCTACATACAGGGGGACCATGAAGGGTGGCTACATTCTTACATACAGGGGGACCAAGGAGGTGGCTACATACAGGGGGACCATGAAATGGGTGGCTACATTCTTACATACAGGGGGACCAAGGAGGGTGGCTATATTCCTACATACAGGGGACCCATGAAGGGTGGCTACATACAGGGGGACCATGAAGGGTGGCTACATTCTTTCATACAGGGGGACCAATGAGGATGGCTACATTCCCCATGAAGGGTGGCTACATTCTTACATACAGGGGGACCAAGGAGGGTGGCTACATTCTTACATACAGGGGGTACCAAGGAGGGTGGCTACATTCTCCAACAATGGATACATACATACAGTAGGACCAATGGAGGGTGGCTACATACAGGGGGACAATGGAGGGTGGCTACATACAGGGGGACAATGGAGGGTGGCTACATACAGGGGGACAATGGAGGGTGGCTACATACAGGGGGACAATGGAGGATGGCTACATACAGGGGGACAATGGAGGGTGGCTACATACAGGGGGACAATGGAGGGTGGCTACATACAGGGGGACAATGGAGGGTGGCTACATACAGGGGGACAATGGAGGGTGGCTACATACAGGGGGACAATGGAGGGTGGCTACATTCCTACATAATGGGGGGACATTGGAGAGTGGCTATACTACATTTCTACATTCAGTGGGACCATGTAGCATGGCTACATTCCTACATATAGTGGGACCTTTGAGGGTGGCTACATTCCTACATACAGGGGGACCATGGAGGGTGGCTACATTCTTATATACCGGGGGATAGTGGTGGGTGGCTACATTCCTACATACAGAGGAACCATGGAGGATGGCTACATTCCTACATACAGGGGGACCATGGAGGGTGGCTACATTCCTACATATAGAGGAACCATGAAGGGTGGCTACATTCGTACATACAGGGGGACCATGGAGGGTGGCTACATTCGTACATACAGGGGGACCATGGAGGGTGCTACATTCGTACATACAGGGGGACCATGGAGGGTGGCTACATTCCTACATACAGGGGGACCATGGAGGGTGGCTACATTCCTACATACAGGGGGACCATGGAGGGTGGCTACATTCCTACATATAGGGGGACCAATCAGAACCTTACTGCTGCTAGCTGTCACTGTAACAAAACATTGCACGTTGCACTACATACTTGCCTTGTTACCCTGTATGGGAACTATTTCACAAATATTTGAAACAAAGTTTCCATGTAAAGCTTTTAGGCGTGCTGAATCTTGTTTCTTTGTTTCTTTTTTTTCTGCAGATGGTTACACAACGGACGACATTGAATTCTTCTGGCAGGGGGGTGAAGAAGTGGCCGTGACTGGGGTGTCTGCTTTGGAATTGCCGCAGTTCACTATTATTGAAACCAGACTGGTTACTAAGAAAGTTGTATTTACAACTGGTGAGAACATAGAGAAGAGATGACTAGAAAAAAAAGTATTGTAATTTATCAGTTTTATTCCATCTTATTTAACAGGTTCCACTCCGCCCTACATCAGAAATACTGCTACTGGGTGGAACGGGTGTGCAAAATCACGTGTATATATATGTGATTATGCAATTCCGGGTAGGGGGCCCTACCCCCGCCACCATTCACGGCCTAGGCTGCCAATCACCAAGTCCTAGCCGGTTACCACCGAGTATCTCCAGATCTCTCCCCTGTCAGATCCTGCACACTGCTTTGTATGGTTCTGCATATCAAAGCCATACAAAGCAGTGTGCTTAAAGTGGAACACGCACACCAGGGGCAGACTGACCATTTGCAAACTCGGGCACTGCCCGAATGCCCGGGGTCAGTAGGGGGCCCCATGAGATGCCCCTGGTACCTTTTTCATAGGCTTTTTTGAGTTTGGACAAGGACACAGGGGCCCCATGATCCCCTATTGTCCGGGGGCCCCATGAGTTGTCAGTCCGCCCCTGGTACGTGATTTGCATTTCCGGGTAGGGAGCGCGCGTGTCAATCACCGGGTCCCAGCCGGAGATTCCCTGCCGGCACCCGGCGATCACCATGCAAAGCTGACAGGAGGAGAGACTTGTGTGTAAACAATACAGGTCTCTCTCCTGCCAGCAAGGACATGCTGCTTTGTATCTCTCTGCACAGCATGTCTCCCTAGTAAAAGCACACAGTTACCCTTTGATCGCCCAAAAGTTAACCTCTTCCTGCCCGGTGCCATTAGTACAGTGTCAGTGCTTTTTATTAGCACCGATCACTGTATTGGTGTCACTGGGGATGTCAGTGGCAGTTAGCCAGTTCCACCCCAGTGTCAGAATGGCCGCCGCAGTCCCGCTATAAGTCGCTGATCGCCGCCATTACTAGTGTAAAAAAAATAAAAATCCCAGTATCTATACCGCCATTTGTAAACTCTATAACTTTCACGTAAACCATTTAATTTACACTTATTTGGATTTTTTTTTTAGCAAAGACACGGAGCAGAATACATTTTGGCCAAAATTTATGCCGAAATTTGATTATTTAAATTTTTTTACTGGACACGTTTAATAGCAAAAAGTCAAAAATATTTTATTTTCTCAAAATTGTCAGTCTTTTTTTTTTTTAAAAAAAGAAAACCGCACAGGCGATCAAATACCACCAAAAGAAAGCTCTATTTGTGGGAAAAAAATGGATGTAAATTGCATTTGGGTGCAGCGTTGCATGACCGCGCAATTGGCAGTTAAAGTAATGCAGCACTGTAATGCAAAAAATGGCCATAAGTCACTGATCGCATTACTAGTATAAAAAAATAAAAATTCCAGTATCTGTACCGCCATTTGTAGACGCTATAACTTTCAGGTAAAGCAATGAATTTACATGTATTGGGATTTTTTTTTTTTAGCAAAGACATACATTGTGGCCTAAATTTATGAAGACATTTTATTTTTTTAAATTTTTTTTGGATATGTTTTATAAAAAAAGTCAAAAATTTTGGTTTGGTTTTTTTTAAATTGTCAGTTTTTTTTTGTTTATAGCACAAAAAAAATGAAAAACCGCAGAGGTGATCAAATACCACCAAAAGAAAGCTCTGTTTGTGGGAAAAAAATTATGTACATTTCATTTGGGTTGCATGACTGCGCAATTGTCAGTTAAAGTAATGCAGCGCTGTATCGTAAAAAAATAGAGGGGGGGGTAAAATCCTCTGGAGGGCGAGGGTAAAATCCACTTTCATGGACAAATATAGCAAACAATAATGTAACATATACAATTTCTACACGAGCCATGTTTTAACCACATGCCGCCCAGCCACTGTATAAATATGGCGGCAGGGTGGCATGGCTGGGCAAAAGCACGTTTTAAAATGTTAAACAGATAGGGGGCGCGCGAGGCGCTCCGCCGCCCTACCTGTCCCGTCCATCACAGCCGCGGATGTCAGTCGCCGGGTCACAGCCGGTTGTTACCGGCTATGTCCCGGCGATCGGCGGCAATCGCTGACAGAGAGCACAGCTGCAGTAGCTGTGCTTTCTGTCAGTTCCCTGACAGCTCCTGACATGCTGATCGGGACAGAAGAGTTTCTCTCTCCCAATCAGCGGTGTTCCCTGCAGTACACACCCCGCCCCCTAGTAGAACACTCCCCTCACCCAGTTAACCCTTTCCCTGAATAATAAAGTTAACCCCTTCCTCCCCAGTGCCATTAGTACAGTGTCAGTGTTTTTTTTTTTTTTTTTGCACTGATCACTGTATTGGTGTCACTGGGGATGTCCGTGACCCCAAGTCAGTTCCCCCCCAGTGTCAGAATGTCCCCTGCAGTCCCACTGCCATAAGTCGCTGATCGCCGCCATAATTCGCTGATCGCCGCCATTATTAGTATAAAAAAAAACTAAAAATCCCAGTATCTTTCCCTCCATTTGTAAACGCTATAACTTTCACGTAAACCAATTAATTTACACGTATTGGGTTTTTTTTTTAGCAAAGACATGTCGCAGAATGCATTTTGGCAGAAATTTATGACTAAATTTGATTTTTAAATTTTTTTTACTGGACATGTTTTATAGCAAAAAGTCCAAAATATTGTTTATTTTCCTCAAAATTGTCAGCCTTTTTTTTATAGCGCAAAAAATAAAAACCGCACAGGCGATCAAATACCACCAAAAGAAAGCTCAATTTGTGGGGAAAAAAGGATGTAAAGTTCATTTATGTACCATATTGCATGACCGCGCAATTGTCCGTTAAACTAGCGCAGCGCTGTATAGCAAAAAAATGGCGTAAATTGCAGTATCTATACCATAGTTTGTAGACGCTATAACTTCACACAAAGCAATCAATATACACTTATTGGGATTTTTTTTTACCAAAAACATGTAGCAGAATACATTTTGGCCTAAATTTATAACTAACTTTGAGTTTACTATATATTTTTTATAGCTGAAAATAAAAAATAGTGTTTTTCTTCAAAATTTTTGGCCTTTTTTTGTTTATAGCGTGAAAAATAAAAAGCGCGCAGGTGATCAAATACCACTGAAAGAAAGCTCTATTTGTGTGAAAAAAAGGACGTAAATTTCGTTTGGGTGCAGCATTGCATGACCGCGCAATTATCAGTTGAATTAGTGCAGTGCCAAGTAGCAAAAAGAGGCGTGGTCAGGAAGGGGGGTAAATCCTCAGGAGGGCGAGGGGTTAATTTAAAGTATAACTAAATATAAGCTTTTTTTTAGTTTTGGATGGAGTGGAGAGGGACCAGACCCCCCGTCAGTTTTTATTGCTGTCTGTGGCCCCCCCATTAGAAAGATTTTATTTGTCCTGTTCGCCATTACCAGTGAAAGTAAAAGAAAATCTCAAATTTTGGGTTGTCTCCAGAAAAGTGAAGGGGAAATCTTCCAATGGGGACACTAGTTCCGGTGACCTGGGGGGATCCCCAAGGGATTCCCTTAATTTGCAGGGATTTCCTCCCACTTCCTATTTGGCTATGGGACAGGAAGTGAAGGGAAATCATAGCAATGGGACACAAATGGTGAAAAAAAAAAAATCTGACCCTCCTTTATTCTATCCAAAATGATAACAAAAAAGTTTTGCCTAGAGTTTTACTTTAACCCCTAGACGCCGAGTGAAATATACAGCCTCTTGGCATCTGGGCCTTGGCGCAGAGGGGCCGCATATTTGCGTATCAAATATAAAGAATGGATGTGCCGAGAGCGCGCGCACCCTCTGCCAGGGGCGGACTGACCATTTGGAAACTCAGGTACTGCCCAAGGGCCCGGGGTAAGTAGGGGGCCCCATGAGATGCCCCTGGTACCTTTTTCATAGGCTTTTTTGCGTTTGGGCAAGGACACAGGGGCCCCAAGACCCCCTATTGCCCGGGGGCCCCATGAGTTGTCAGTCCGCCCCTGCCCTCTGCGCTCCCGGCACATTTACTGGTGCCTCGCGGAAAGGTCAGGAGCTTTCTGATCATGTGACAGCCAATAATGGCGGTCACATGACCCAAACCCCTGCCCCGCCTTCCGGCATCACAAACCCCTTACAGGGCCGGGAGGCACCAGCGCCAAGGGATTAAAATCCCTGCAATGCCGTTTTGAAGGCAAAAGGGGGTCCAAACCCGCTACTGGCAAGGTGGACTTTGTTGAGTCTATGCCATGAAGGCCATTCTGAAGGCAAATTGGGATCCAACCCAGTAATGACAAGGTGGACCTTGTTGAGTCTATGCCATGAAGGCCGTCCTGAAGGCAAAAGGGGGTCCAACCCAGTACCGGCAAGGTGGACCTTGTTGAGTCTATGCCATGAAGGCCGTCCTGAAGGCAAAATGGGGTCCAACCCGGTACTGGCAAGGTGGACCTTTTTGAGTCTATGCCATGAAGGCCATCCTGAAGGCAAAATGGGGTCCAACCCGGTACTGGCAAGGTGGACCTTGTTGATTCTATGCCATGAAGGCCGTTCTGAAGGCAAAAGGGGGTCCAACCCGTTACTGGCAAGGTGGACCTTGTTGAGTCTATGCCATGAAGGCCGTTCTGAAGGCAAAAGGGGGTCCAACCCGGTACTGGCAAGGTGGACCTTGTTGAGTCTATGCCATGAAGGCCGTTCTGAAGGCAAAAGGGGGGTCCAACCCGGTACTGGCAAGGTGGACCTTGTTGAGTCTATGCCATGAAGGCCGTTCTGAAGGCAAAAGGGGGTCCAACCCGGTACTGGCAAGGTGGACCTAATTAAGTCTATGCCATGAAGGCAGTTCTGAAGGCAAAGGGGGGTCCAACCCGGTACTGGCAAGGTGGACCTTGTTGAGTCTATGCCATGAAGGCCGTTCTGAAGGCAAAAGGGCGTCCAACCCGATACTGGCAAGGTGGAGCTTGTTGAGTCTATGCCATGAAGGCTGTTCTGAAGGCAAAATGGGGTCCAACCCGGTAATGACAAGGTGGACCTTGTTGAGTCTATGCCATGAAGGCCGTTCTAAAGGCAAAAGGGGGTCCAACCCGGTACTGGCAAGGTAGTCCAAATAAAGTGGCCGGTGAGTGTATATTGTAGTAAAAGGTGGAGTTGCATACTTAGGCGTTCGCTTGACCCCCACTTAGACTCCTTGTTTGCTGCAAATTATTATCCATTGCTTAGCTCTCTATCCTCTCTTATGCATTCTTGGCAATTTCCGCACCTGTCTTGGATAGGACGGGTTAATTCGGTGAAAATGACCATCTTGCCGAAATTGTTGTATTATTTTCGCACACTCCCGGTGCGGGTTCCCCCTCATTTTCTTAGGTTGCTTCAGGCGAAGTTTAATGCGTTTTATCTGGGCCGATAAGCACCCCAGAGTATCCAAAAGTACGCTTTTTGCCCATAGACTTCAGGGTGGTCTTGGGGTGCCTAATGTGACTAAGTATTATCAAGCGAGCCAGATTGCCCCGCTGTCTATGTTGCACGCCTCTTCCGACGTCCCCCTCTGGGTCCTGTTGGAACTACCTAAGTGTGCCCCTATCGCACTGTCGACGCTTCTATGGCTTCCCCTGCCCTGCGCCCTATGGCACTGAGTCCGATGTTACTTCATGGCCTACAAGTTTGGGACTCGGTGCGTTACTCTGGTGGTCTGATGTCACCTTTTCTGCCTTTGCTACCTATTATTAACAACCCTCTTTTCCCGCCGGGTTTGGATCACCCAGGGGCGTTTTCTTGGTGGGTGACTAATGGTTTTTCGCAGGTGCGACACTTTTTGATTTTTCGGTGCTTTCCCACCTGGGACTCTCTTCGGGAATCCCGGAATATCCCCCCAGCGGAATTTTTTCGATATCTTCAATTGCGACACTGGCTGCTCTCGCTGCGGGGTACTTCTGCGTTCCCGTACCAGAAATCTGCCTTTGAACAGCTTTGCCAACAGCGTCCGGGCGCTCCGGGCCTTATATCCCTTCTTTATGCAGCTCTGAACAGACGCTCATCGCATACTTCTCTTTCATATGTTGTTCAGTGGGAAGCGCGACCTGGGAGTGGCTGTGGATCCGGAGGACTGGAATAAGACCTGGTCACTCATAGCTAAATGCTCATTTAATACGACCACACTGGAGGCAGCCTATAAGGTTTTGTTTCGTTGGTACTGGGTTCCGGCTCGGTTGGCCCGGGCTAACCCTGCCTGTAGTGATCGATGTTTTCGGGGTTGTGGTCATCGTGGTGATGTATTGCATATTTGGTGGTCATGCCCGAGACGGTTTCGTTTTTGGTCTCGTGTATTTGGCCTCCTTTTCACTTTGTTCCATCTCTCCATACGCCGGGATGCCCGGTACGCCTTGCTTCATTGCCCCATACCGGGCCTCTTGGCTCGTCAGCAGAAGTTGGCTTCCTATCTGTTTTTATCCGCCACTAGAACAATTGCTCAGGCCTGGAGGAGTCCGTTTGTTCCTCTTCAGGGGGGTGCGGGATCGTATGACCACTATGATGCTCAACGAACAGATGTCGAGTATCCGCAATGACTCCCAATGTAAATTTTTGAAAAATATGGGAGCCGTGGTTGCAATATGCCCTTCCCTCACTCTCCCCGGCTAGTCTGGGGGATGTAATGGCGTTCGGTGTTGGCGCTCTTGAATCCCTGCTCTTTGCCCCCCCCCTTTTTTTTTTTTTCTTTCTTTTCCTTTTTCTCTCTCTCTCTCTGTTTTTGGGTGTGTGACTAGGACAGCTGCATTTAGTTGTTATAATCAGTTACATTAATGTTTTGTAACTTTGTGCCTCCATTGATAGCCCCTGCGTGGGCGTACCTTTTGCCCTGTTGGCATTAGAGCATTGTTTTTCCCCTTTTTTTTTATTTGGCATTTTTTTATCTGTGCAATTGATAGCCCCTGCGTGGGCGTGTTTTACTGCCTCTGTTTATACTGTTTATTTTAATAAAAACCATTGAAATAGAAAAAAAAAAAAAAAAAAGTGGAGTTGCAATAGGTTCTAGTGTTCATGACTAGAGACGCGCGATGGAAAAATGTTGTTTCATTTCGAAGTCATTTGTTAACCACTTCCAGTCCGGACACTTTTACCCCCTTCCTGTCCAGGCCAATTTTCAGCTTTCAGCGCTGTCGCACTTTGAATGACAATTGCGCGGGTCATGCAACATATGAATTTTTTCGCATTTTTTTGGACAGATAAAACTTTATTTTGGTGGTATTTATTCACCACTGAGATTTTTATTTTTTTTGCTATGTAAATGAAAAAGTCCAAAAAATATTTGGAAGAAAAAGTGTTCTTATAAAATTTCGCAAATAAATAATCTTTCTTCATAAATCTTGGCCAAAATGTATTCATCTGTCCTCCGACAACAGCGTGCACTGACAATGGGAACACGCACAGGCAATGGATAAATGACCGATAGGGAGCGCCGCCGGAGCGAGTGGACGTTTCAAAAAACGTCCACCCGTTCCGGCGGCGCTCCTGTCGTTTATGTACATGGGCCAAACGGGAAGTGGTTAAATGCAGCAGTGAAAAATCAGGTCTTCTGCCCTACCAAAGCTGTGCACCATAGCTGTGTGTCAGTTCCCAGCTCCCCTCCCGCCTTTTCTCTGTCTGACCCAACAAGTTCTCAGCTGTGTGGTTTCTGTGAATCTTCTCTATTGTACTTGGGCAAGTTTGCCACAGTCCCTGTTCAGTCCTACAGATATTTTCCTATGCTCTTCATGCCTCCTTTGTACTCTGTCTAAATAGATTGAGTGCAGTAGCAGTCAATCTACTGACAGATCTGACAGTTCTGAACCCGGAAGTGCTCAGAGCTGAGCGCTTTCAGGGCAAGAATAGAGATTCTTGTCTCCTGTTTGCTTTCCATCCTGAAGTTTGCATGGACCCCTATGAGCCTATGCTTTAGTGAAGGGACCCTGGCAAAGGGGTGGATAGCAATAAATACTTGACAGGGGATATAACCCCTCCCTACTCCATCTACAAATGTAACATATACAGGAAAGAATTAAAATTGAGACAAAGCTCAAATAATTATTATAATTATAATCAGCCTTCTCTATCTACTACATAACCATTTTTACCATCTGTTCTGTTCTCCAGGTTCCTATCCCCGTTTGTCACTGAGTTTTCGTATTAAGAGGAACATTGGATATATTTCATTCTTCAGACCTATATGCCATCCATCTTGATTACCATACTGTCTTGGGTATCCTTCTGGATCAACTACGATGCTTCTGCAGCTAGGGTGGCGTTAGGTACGTACTCATGTTATAAAAGAAAAGTTCAGGTAGGACAATACGGTACAGCCAGGGGAGGACAAGAAGGAGAATTCGACCAAGGCATGTTGGGGTGGTGGCCCTGATGGAGATATTTTACCATTCAAAGACTGATCAGAGCAGGAAATCCAGCAAATGACACTTGGTGGCCATTATATAGCTACCTTCTCCCCATTCATATCTGTCATCACAGCCTCCAGTAGAAGGAAGTCTTCCAGCACTAACTTCCTTTGAGGCATTCAGATATCATGTGACTGAATTCTGAGAGCCGCATTTCTACTTGGGTTCCAGGTTACAGTCTAGGACAGTATCCCTCACCCCATGGTGATTGCTGTAAAAGCCCCAATGAAGGAGGAGTGTTGAGTCTCCGAAACACTCTGGATTTGTTGCAGAATAAAATCTTTTATGGACTGTAAGAACTAGTGTGGTGCTCCCATCCATTCAATTCTTAAGATACCTTTTCTGAGGATCCAACAGGACACCACTTTTGTCACTTGAGGGAAGGTCCATATCTCAATGCCATATCCTTTAGGAATTTCCACTTTTCACCATGTCCACCAACCACTGCAAAACTATGCTACACTTTGGATGGTAGACTTTCTTCATCTGCCCTTTCCATGAAGGGGATTCATGAACAAAGAGACAATGAAACAATAAACTATAACCTTTAGGAACATCCACCTTTTGCCATGTCCATTAACCACTGCAACACTATGCTATGCTTTGGATGGTAGACTTTCTTCATCTGTTTCTTGAAGGGTATACTTGGTTGTACGTTCACCCCCCCCCTCCAGGCCAAATGTTCCCAGTCCTCTACTAATAAACTCCTAGATGGGTACTGAGAAGGGCCCAGTACAGAAGTTCTTATCACTTAAAGGGATTTTTTGAAACTTTTACTGGTTAAGAGCATCAAATACAACCAACAATGAGATGCAATAGAAGACCTTGATAAAGCCATCAAGAGATAATAGCCTTTTTCAAGCCTTACCATAAGTCTTCTATTGCATCTCATTGTGGTTGAGATGCAATAGAAGCTATTATATATATTATGGCCATTATATAGCTACCTTCTCCCCATTCATATCTGTCATCACAGCCTCCAGTAGAAGGAAGTCTTCCAGCACTAACTTCCTTTGAGGCATTCAGCTATCATGTGACTGAATTCTGAGAGCCGCATTTCTACTTGGGTTCCAGGTTACAGTCTAGGACAGTATCCCTCACCCCATGGTGATTGCTGTAAAAGCCCCAATGAAGGAAGAGTGTTGAGTCTCCGAAACACTCTGGATTTGTTGCAGAATAAAATCTTTTATGGACTGTAAGCACTAGTGTGGTGCTCCCATCCTTTCAGTTCTTTAAGATACCTTTTCTGAGGGTCCAACAGGACACCACTTTTGTCACTTGAGGGAAGGTCCATATCTCAATGCCATATCCTTTAGGAATTTCCACTTTTCACCATGTCCACCAACCACTGCAAAACTATGCTACACTTTGGATGGTAGACTTTCTTCATCTGCCCTTTCCATGAAGGGGATTCATGAACAAAGAGACAATGAAACAAAAACTATAACCTTTAGGAACATCCACCTTTTGCCATGTCCCATTGAGCACTGCAAAACTATGCTATGCTTTGGATGGTAGACTTTCTTCATCTGCCCTTTCCATGAAGAGGATTCATGAGCAAAGAGACAATGAAAGAATAAATGATATCCTTTAGGAACATCCACCTTTTGCCATGTCCATTAAGCACTGCAACACTATGCTATGCATTGGATGGTAGACTTTCTTCATCTGTCTCTTGAAGGGTATACTTGGTTGTACGTTCACCCCCCCCCCCCCCCCCCCCCCCCCAGGCCAAATGTTCCCAGTCCTCTACTAATAAACTCCTGGATGGGTACTGAGAAAGGCCCAGTACAGAAGTTCTTATCACTTAAAGGTATTTTTTGAAACATTTACTGGTTAAGAGCATCAAATACAACCAACGTGTTTCTGGGGAAAAGCTTCCCCCTTCTTCAGGACTTGAGAATTAGATGGTTTTAGAATAACAATGAGATGCAATAGAAGACCTTGATAAAGCCAGCAATTCCTAGTGCCATCAAGAGATAATAGCCTTTTTCAAGCCCTACCATAAGTCTTCTATTGCATCTCATTGTGATTCTAATACAATTACATCTACTGGTCAAGCCCTTCAGAATTGGGAAGCTTTTCCTCTGAAATTGGCTATATTTGAGGCTCCTAACAAATAAAATGAATTAAAAAAAACCTTTAAGTGATTATGAACGTCTCAGTACCCATTGTTTATCATCTGTTAAGTGTTCTTTTCGTTATGACCAAAGAGGTAACAGCATAGGTCCGGAACAAGGTCCACCTACACAATACCTTCATTACGTATGAGCGACCTTTGAAAGAAGATGAACTCCATTGTATATGCATCAGAACCAGGGGCGGACTGACCATTTGGTAACTCAGGCACTGCCCGAGGGCCCGGGGTCAGTAGGGGGCCCCATGAGATGCCCCTGGTACCTTTTTCATAGGCTTTTTTGAGTTTGGGCAAGGACACAGGGGCCCCATGATCCCCTATTGCCCGGGGGCCCCATGAGTTGTCAGTCCGCCCCTGATCAGAACCAAGTCTGACTTGCACAAGTCCAGTTCTAATTCATGTGTTTCTTCTGTATTTCAGGAGTGACTACTGTACTGACAATGACTACAATTAATACCCACCTGAGGGAAACCCTGCCAAAAATTCCCTATGTGAAAGCTATTGATGTGTACCTTATGGGATGCTTTGTGTTTGTTTTCTTGGCTCTGTTGGAATATGCTTTTGTAAATTATGTGTTCTTTGGCCGGGGCCCTCAGCAGCAGAAGAAATTAAACGAGCGAACAAATAAATCGATTAATGAACGGCAACGCTATGAAGAAAGGAGAATAAGAGAACAGGTAGGTGGCCCTTATTAGAAAATGGTGTCACACATTTCTTGGATATTTCATTAGCTACAAATCTGACCGATCCAGACTAATTCTTGGCTTGCGAGACATCAATCACTGGTTGTCACGTCTACCCAGTGGTGTATTTAGGTTTTGTACTGCCCTAGACTTTCTAATATTATATGGTATATCTCTACATAGTTACACTCAATTTTCTATCCCGGGGGGTCTCCAAACTTTCTAAACAAATGGCCAGTTTAATGTTTTCCAGACTTTAGGGGGGCTAGACTGTGGCATTTGAAATTAGAAATTGTCCTGGTGTCAGTGGGAGTAAACATTGCATTTTTGGTATTAGGAGGAATAGTGCCCCATCACTGGTGTCAGTGGGAGGAATAGTGCCCCATCGCTGGTGTCAGTGGGAGGAATAGTTCCCCATCGCTGGTGTCAGTGGGAGGAATAGTGCCCCATCGCTGGTGTCAGTGGGAGGAATAGTTCCCCATCGCTGGTGTCAGTGGGAGGAATAGTTCCCCATCGCTGGTGTCAGTGGGAGGAATAGTGCCACATCGCTGGTGTCAGTGGGAGGAATAGTGCCCCATCGCTGGTGTCAGTGGGAGGAATAGTTCCCCATCGCTGGTGTCAGTGGGAGGAATAGTTCCCCATCGCTGGTGTCAGTTGGAGGAATAGTGCCCCATCATTGATGTCAGTGGGAGGAATAGTGCCCCATCATTGGTGTCAGTGGGAGGAATAGTGTCCCATCATTGGTGTCAGTGGGAGGAATAGTGCCCCATCATTGGTGTTAGTGTGAGCAATAGTGCCCCATTTGGTTAGCGTCAATGGAAGAAAATAGTGCCCCATTGTTGATGACAGTATCAGGAATTATATCCCATTGTTGGTGTCAGTGGGAGGAATAGTGTCCCATCGCTGGTGTCAGTGGGAGGAATAGTATTAGTATGAGGAGGAGTGCCCCATTATTGACGTCAGTGGAAGAAATAGTGCCCCATTGTTGATGTCAGTGGGAAGAATGTGCCACATCATTGGTATCAGTGGGAGGAATAGTGCCCCATCATTGGTATCAGTGAGAGGAATAATGCCCCATCATTGGTGTCAGTGGGAGGAATAGTGCCCCATCACTTGGTGTCAGTGGGAGGAATAGTGCCCCATCGCTGGTGTCAGTGGGAGGAATAGTTCCCCATCGCTGGTGTCAGTGGGAGGAATAGTTCCCCATCGTGGTGTCAGTGGAAGGAATAGTGCCCATCATTGGTGTCAGTGGGAGGAATAGTGCCCCATTATTGGTGTCAGTGGGAGGAATAGTTCCCCATCGCTTGGTGTCAGTGGGAGGAATAGTGCCACATCATTGGTGTCAGTGGGAGGAATAGTGCCCCATCGCTGGTGTCAGTGGTAGTTCCCCATCGCTGGTGTCAGTTGGAGGAATAGTGCCCCATCATTGGTTAGTCAATAGTGCCCCATTATTAGGTCAATGGAAGAAATAGTGCCCCATTGTTGATGACAGTATCATTATATCCCATTGTTGGTGTCAGTGGGAGGAATAGTGTCCCATCATTGCTGTGGTATCAGTGGGAGTGGGAAATGGTGCCACATCATTGGTATCAGTGGGAGGAATAGTGCCCCATCATTGGTATCAGTGGAGGAATAATGCCCCATCATTGGTGTCAGTGGGAGGAATAGTGCCCCATCATTGGTATCAGTGGGAGGAATCATTGGTATCAGTGCCCCCATCATTGGTGTCAGTGGGAGGAATAGTACCCCATCATTGGTGTCAGTGGGAGGAATATTGCCCCATCATTGGTATCAGTGGGAGGAATGGTGCCACATCATTGGTGTCAGTGGGAGGAATAGTGCCCCATCATTGGTATCAGTGGGAGGAATGGTCCCCATCATTGGTGTCAGTGGGAGGAATAGTGTCCCATTGTTGATGTCAGTGTGAGGAATAGTGTCCAATTGTTGGTGTCAGTAGCAGGAATATTGCCCCAATATTGGTGTCAGTGGGAGGAATAATGTCTTGTATCAGTGGAGGGAAAAGTCCCCCAAGGGCCAGATAAAGGCAAGAAGGGGGCCACATATGGCCCCCGAGCTGTCCTATACCATAGCAGTCAATAATGCAATATGTGTTATTTGTAGACCTAATGAAGGGGTATCCTTTGAACCCCTGAAACATGTTGAATTTTTATGATATAAGAGTATGACTAAACCAAACTCTGGACTTTAAACATTCTGCTTCTGTTGCTTCCATCCTTGTATATCCAGACCCTATAAACTGGACTGGGGTTCTAATTATAAAAATCTAAAAAAAATCTAAAGTTAAAAAGTTTTGGCTGTACAAACACTTTTTTGAACATAAGAAGTACTTCCTAAACAAACTCCAACAAAAGGAGTTATCTCCAAACACGGAAAGGTTTCTTCACAGTGAGAGCTGTGAGAATGTGGAATAGACTCCCTCCAGAGATGGTTGTGGCCAGCTCAGTGGATTGCTGTAGGAAAGTCCTGGATTCTTTCTTGGATACACAGAATATAACTGGATATAACATTTATAGGTAAAGTTGATCCAGGGAATATCCGATTGCCTCTCGGGGGATCAGGAAGGAATTTTTTCCCCTGCAGGAGCAAATTGGATCGTGCTTTGCTGGGTTTTTTGCCTTCCTCTGGATCAACTGTGGGTGTAGGATTATAACTTTTTTTGTTTTTAATGTTTGAACTGGATGGGCTTTTGTCTTTTTTTTCAGCCAGACTAACTACGTAACAAGGGATAGAAATAGCAGGCCTTAAAAAATTGAACTCATAGGTGCTCAAAAGGAGTGGGTTATTAGAGATTATTTAAAGATGGACACAATGTTGAGTTGGTATCATCAGAAAAGGGCTTTATTGAAGGTATAACAAGGTTACAACATTGGTAATACATGTCAAGGTATACATACAGACACTTCTTCAGGCCAGGCATATCACAACCAGGGGCGGACTGACCATTTGGAAACTCGGGCACTGCCCGAGGGCCCGGGGTCAGTAGGGGGCCCCATGAGATGCCCCTGGTACCTTTTTCATAGCCTTTTTTTGAGTTTGGGCAAGGACACAGGGGCCCCATGATCCCCTATTTCCCGGGGGCCCCATGAGTTGTCAGTCCGCCCCTGCTAGTGCCTTGAGGTAGATCTCAAAGCTAAGCTGCAGGATCTCGTGCATGCAGTGTATGGCATTAGGCTAGGTTCACACTTATGCAGGTGGCGTTTGACCCATTTCTGCGTTACGTTTTTGCCACGTTTTTGATGCGTTACATTTTTTTTTTATTTTTTTTTTTTTCAATTTTTCTTGTTGCTAGGCCCATTTAAAATGCAAAAAGCATCAAAAAGTGGCAAACATGCAGCAAAAACACAATACATGCTTTTCTGTAGTGTTTCCATCGAAGTCTATAGAACCAAGAACGCAACGTTTTGCATTCAAAAAAGTCCCCGACCCTTTCCAAAAGACGCACCGGGTGAAAACACGGAGATGTGAATGTGTCTCATAGGAAATCATGTTAAATGGACTGTACTGGTGGCTAAATGGTTAGCAATTCCGCCTGGCAGTACTCGGGTTTGCATGTTCTCCCTGTGCCTGCGTGGGTTTCCTCTGGGTACTCCGGTTTCCTCCCACACACCAAAGACATGCTGGTAGGTGAATTGGCTCCTGTCTAAATTGGCCCAAGTATGTGTATGTATGAATGTAAGTTAGGGACCTTAGATTGTACACCCCCATTTGGAAACTCGGGCACAGCCCAGGGTCAGTAGGGGGCCCCATGAGATGCCCCTGGTACCTTTTTCATAGGCTTTTTTGAGTTTAGGTAAAGACACAAGGGCCCCATGATCCCCTATTGAGAGCCCAGGGTCAGTAGGGGGCCCCATGAGATGCCCCTGGTACCTTTTTCATAGGCTTTTTTGAGTTTAGGTAAAGACACAAGGGCCCCATGATCCCCTATTGAGAGCCCAGGGTCACTAGGGGGCCCCATGAGATGCCCCTGGTACCTTTTTCATAGGCTTTTTTGAATTTTGGCAAGGACACAGGGGCCCCATGATCCCCTATTGCCCGGGGGCCCCATGAGTTGTCAGTCCGCCCCTGATCACAACTCAAGTAGAACATAGTAAAAAAAAAAAAATGTTTGATAAGAAGATTTGAGGGGTCTTTTGTAGAAGAATGGTTGTAAAATCAATGGCAGTTGGATGGTTGTCAGATGGTAGATGGCTAAGCGAATAAATAGATAAGGATATAAACTGATACCAAACTGATACTGGATGGACTTTTGTCTTTTTTCAGCCAGACTAACTATGATACATACATAGCTAAATGAGTTGGTATTGGAAGATGGTGACCAGGATGTCTTATTTTAGGAGACTATATGGGATTTCGGTCCCATTTAGATCTAAGTTAGACAAAGGACCCTCTTCTGTTGTCATGTAGACCTAAGCATTGTAGGTGGGAAGAGGACATTTTATCATGATGCCCAACTGTTCTCCAGGTGTAAAATACCCAGGTGGTCCCTGGCAGTGATCACCTCCTTTACTTCCAGCCTGATCGGCATTAAGGCAAGCAGAATGCTTCACCTATTTGCCCTTGATGCCATTTAGGCAAGATAGTTAGAGATTGACCATGAAAGAGTTTGGGTTTTTCCAAGGTTACTTCACCTACATCTATCCATCTATCTATGCATAGTGAATAAATGTTTATACTTGGGCAGTACATGAATAGCAGGCCCGAAAAACTGCTCATCAATAGAAGGCCCATTGTAGAATTTGCCCACCATTGGTAAAATTCATATACAGTTGCAAGAAAAAGTATGTGAACCCCTTGGGATTCCGTGGAGTTTTGCATGAATTGGGCATAAAATGTGCTCTGAACGTCATCTAAGTCACAACAATAGAAGAACACAGTCTGCTGAACATAATACTACACAAACATTAGATATTGCCATGGTTTAATTGCACATAACATGTAAACATTCACAGTGCAGGGAGGAAAACGTATGTGAACCTTTGGACTTAATAACTGGTTGACCCTCCTTTGGCAGCAATAACTTCAACCAAACGTTTCCTGTAGTTGCAGATCAGACCTGCACAACGATCTGGAGTCATTTTGGACCACTCCTCTTCACAAAACTGTTTCAGTGTAGCAATATTCTTGGGATGTCTGGTGTGAATCGCTCTCTTAAGGTCATGCCACAGCATTTCAACCGGGTTGAGGTCAGGACCCTGACTGGGCCACTCCAGAAGGCGTATTCTGTGCTGTTGCAGCCATTGTTTTGTTGAATTACTTGTATGCTTTGGGTCATTGTCCTGTTGCATCACCCATCCTCTGCGGAGCTTCAGTCGTACGTTTTCCTGCAAAATGTCTTGATAAACTCTGGAATTCATTTTCCCATCAATGACAACAATCCGTCCAGGCCCTGAGCCAGCAAAGCAGCCCCAAACCATGATGCTCCCTCCGCCATGTTTCACAGTGAGGATGAGGTTTTGATGTTGGTGTGCTGTGCCTTTTTTTCTCCACACATAGTGTTGTGTGTTCTTCCCAAACAACTCAATCTTGGTTTCATCTGTCCACAGTATATTTTGCCAGTAGTGCTGTGGAACATCCAGATGCTCTTTTGCAAACTTCAAACGTGCTGCAATCTTCTTTTTGGACAGCAATGGCTTCCTCCGTGGTGTCCTCCCATGTACTCCATTCTTGTTTAATGTTTTCCTTATTGTAGATGTGTCAACAAAAATGTTAGCATGTGCCAGAGATTTCTGTAGGTCTTTAGCTGACACTCTGGGATTCTTCTTTAACTCATGCAGCATTCTGCGCTGTGCTCTTGCAGTCATTTTTACAGGACGACCGCGCCTAGGGAGAGTAGCAACAGTGCTAAACTTTCTCCATTTGTAGACAGTCTGTCTTACCGTGGACACATGAACATCAAGGCTTTTGGAGATACTTTTGTAACCCTTTCCAGCTTCATGCAAGTCAACAATTCTTGATCGTAGGTCTTCCGAGAGCTCTTTTCTGCGAGGCATGGTTCACATCAGACAGTGCTTCTTGAAACCAGTAAACCCAAAACAGGTGTGTGTTTTTTAAGGGCAGGACAGCTGTCAGCAACACATCCAATATCATCACACTGATTGGAGTCAAGGTTGGCTCACTCCTGGCTCCAATTAGCTCTGGGAGAAGTCATTAAGCTAGGGCCTCACACATACTTTTTCCTCCCTGCACTGTGAATGTTTACATGTTATGTGCAATTAAACCAAGGCAACATCTAATGTTTGTGTAGTATTATGTTCAGCAGACTCTGTTCTTCTATTGTTGTGACTTAGATGACGTTCAGAGCACATTTGATGCCCAATTCATGCAAAACTCCACGTAATCCCAAGGGGTTCACATACTTTTTCCTCCCTGCACTGTGAATGTTTACATGTTATGTGCAATTAAACCATGGCCACATCTAATGTTTGTGTAGTATTATGTTCAGCAGACTGTGTTCTTCTATTGTTGTGACTTAGATGACGTTCAGAGCACATTTTATGCCCAATTCATGCAAAACTCCACGTAATCCCAAGGGGTTCACATACTTTTTGCTCCCTGCACTGTGAATGTTTACATGTTATGTGCAATTAAACCATGGCAACATCTAATGTTTGTGTAGTATTATGTTCAGCAGACTGTGTTCTTCTATTGTTGTGACTTAGATGACGTTCAGAGCACATTTGATGCCCAATTCATGCAAAACTCCACACGTAATCCCAAGGGGTTCACATACTTTTTCCCCTGCAAATGTTTACATGTATATGTGCAATTAAACCAAAGCAAAAATCTAATGTTTGTGTAGTATTTTTCTTGCAACTGTATAGATAAAGCTGTATATGCCCATTCATGCAAGAATCCCAAGGGGTTCACATACTTTTTTTGCAACTGTATATAAAGCTGTATCAAAGAATGGACACAGTTTCAGCTAAATTTGCATGTGTCATATATGTATTATGTGATTCCGATAATCATGTCCATCTCTCTAGGTTGACCCGTATGGAAACATTCTTCTTAGCACCCTTGACATGAGCAGTGAGTTGATGTCAGCCGAGATGGGAAGCAGTATTGTGATTCCCGGAACTCCGTCCTGTCATACGACACCTCAGGGATCCAGTTCCGCAAGCAGCTAACATCTAGAGGGGACACTTTTGGCCAGACTCCCCTGGAGCGCCATGTTCCTCTAGCAGCCACACGTGGACGTGCCAACTGCCGCCTCCGCGCGACGCTCTTCTAAGTTAAAGCTTAAGATTCCAGACCTGACAGATGTCAGCACCATCGACAAATGGTCCAGGATCATTTTCCCCATCACATTTGGATTGTTTAACGCGGTTTACTGGTCGTACTATGTCAAGTGAAGCATTTTCATTGCCCTTCACCCTAAGCTGTGCACACCCTTCCTTCCACAGGACACAAGCTTCACCTAAATCTCTCACCCCCCCCCCCCCCCCCCCTTCTCTTGCTTCACAGTTTGATGTCTGGGCCAGCGACAGAAGTAGCCATTCAATCCTACAAAGAGGGGGGGGGGGGGGGGGAGAGAATTGCACTTTTTTGTCACACTTTTTTTCATCAAATTTCTAAAAGGTTTTTTCCCTTTTTTTTAAAAAAGAAAAAGTTTTCATTTTACCTGGAAGTAGATTATGGCTGGGTACTGTGAGTCATTTTTTTTTTGGATGTAACCTTTTCTCGCGACTTGGTTAATCATTGTAATAAAAAAAAAAAAAAAAAAAAATGTGTTCAATTAAGATACTCCAATACAGAGTATGAGGAGTAAGCAGAGCAAGGTTAGGCGATACTGGCAATTATTTCCTCTCTTTATGCAGTTTAAAATGATTATTGCTACATATTGTGGAGCTATAAAAGGCACAGATATGACTCTGTAGAGCAGGATATTCCCAGTTGCAAGCTTGAATTGCACATGATGGAGTTGATGTCTTGATGGAAAGCCTTTGATGAAAACATTTTATTAATAAATGGGGGGGGGGGGGGGGGGGGGGGGGGGAGCCAAATATAAAATGAAACACAATGGCATGGCAAATCCAAAACATCCTATCGGGGCTAGTCCAATTCTTTTCGGTGGGGGGTCATCGAAACAATAATACATATTGCACAGCTGAAACGAAATGATATGTTTTACAGAATTGTGCATTTTCTGTCTTTCAGTAAATTTAGACCTAAAATGCAACCTGACTACCGAACCTTTATCTGTATTTCCAAATATAAATGTAACTTGGCAGATGCAAATTTTTACATATTAAAAGATAGAAAAAGTAAAGAATTAGGATGCAAAAGGCCTTGATTCACTCAAAAGTTGGTAGCTACGCTTCTTCAACCTCAGTTTGAACATTACTTTTACCTATTTGTGTGGTTTTTTTTTTTTTTTTTTTTTTTTTTCTTGATTTGTGAAAGATAACAACATCTTAGCTATTAATAATGTGAATATTTTTTATCATTTAACCACGGCAGGGCGGTGGCACTCCAGGGGCGGGCTGCCGTTCATAAACGGCACCCGCCATTCTAGCTGTGCGCGCTCCCTGGGCGCGATCCGGTGCCCGCTGTGTCCTCCGGACACAGTGAAACACCGATCGTCGGACGGGACCTCTGTACGAGGTCCCGATCATGTGATCACTGATTGGCCAATCAGTGATCACATGCAAAGTAGTAAGCAAGATGTCACTTGTGACATCATTGCTTACTACGTGTGAAATCTGTGAATGATCACCGAGGTCACATGGTACAAGGCCATTCACAACAGCCTTGTACCATGTGACAAGCTGTGACCAATCACAGCTCACTCAGTACTTCTCAATGAGTGCAAGAATGCAGCCAGAGAGGAGAAAAATGATTGGGATTGTGATTGTGAATGATCACAGAGGTCACATGGGACAAAGCTATTCACAACAGCCCGCTGTAATCACTGTACTGGACCTCTGTGTGAGGTCCCAATCATGTGATCACTGATTGGCCAATCAGTGATCACATGCAAAGTAGTAAGCAAGATGTCACTTCTGACATCATTGCTTACTACGTGTGAAATCTGTGAATGATCACGGAGGTCACATGCTACAAGGCCATTCACAACAGCCTTGTACCATGTGACAAGGTGTGACCAATCACAGCTCACTTAGTATTTCTCAATGGCTTCAAGAATGCAGACAGAGAGAAGGAGAAATGATTGCTTTTGCAAACTTTATGGGTGTAAAAGCAATCAGTGTAAAAAGAGAGAAAAAATCTTCATCACCCCCCAAAAGTATTTCTCAATGGCTTCAAGAATGCAGACAGAGAGAAAGAGAAATTATTGATTTTACATCCTATATGGGTGTAAAAGCAATCACTGTAAAAAAAAAAAAAAAAATCTTCATCACCCCCCACAAGTAGTACAATGTCACCATGGTGACACTGTACTGCTAGGGTGACAGTATGTAAAAAAAAACGAAAAAAAAAAAAAAACCCATAAATAAAAATGTAAAAAAATGTTTAAAAATTATAATTTTGGGTTATAAACTAATTTGGCTTATTTTTTTTTTACTAAAAATATAACGGAATACATTTTGGCCAAGATTTATGATGAAAGATTATTTATTTGCAATATTTTATACGAAAAACACTTTTTTTCAAAATTTTTGGACTTTTTCATTTACATAGCAAAAAAAAAAAAAAATCCCAGCGGTGAAAAAATACCACCAAAATAAAGCTTTATCTGTCTCAAAAAAATGGTAAAAAATTCATTTGGGTACAGTGTTGCATGACCGCATTCAAAGTTGTCATTCAAAGTGTGATAGCGCTGAAAGCTGAAAAAAGTTCCGGCCTGGGTCCGGACTGGAAGGGGGGGAAAGTGTCCGGACTGGAAGGGGGTGA